TGGTGGTGGTGGTGGTGGTGGTGGTGGTGGTGGTCGGTGGTGGTGGTGGTGGTGGTCGGTGGTGGTGGTGGTGGTGATGATGATAGTGGCGGTGGTGGTGGCGAATCGTGGTAGAACACAGGAGTAGGAATCAACAGGATCCTCGAGAAAAGAACCGACTTGGCCGCTACCGATGTAACCTGTCGCGATGATCAGTGTCGGGACGCGATGATTCCGCCCAGGAAAAATTCAAGATGATTTTCTTACATCGCAAAACGATGGCGACGAGACGCGTATAGAAAGGGAAGAAACAGATGGGATAAGAGCATCAAAGGATCCTGGCGAGGTGCACAGTCGAGAATAAGCGCGGCGTATGAAGAGAGAGTTATGGCAATATAAATAAAATCTGCACAGGAAATTGAGATATCCGATGTAACCAATGGAGAATGCCTCGAGGTGACTTATGCTACTTTCTAACTAAAACTAGGGACTAGAAAATATATCGGATAGCAAATTACGACGGAAGAAATAGCAGTTTAGAAGGAACGGGATAATCACGATGAAAACAGAAACAATAGCGAAGGATTATGCGAACCCATAAGAAATCGTAAGACGCAATCGAAGACGAGACGAAAAAGAAGCGAACCATTACTTCCTTTGTTTACAGCGAGGAAACATTTAACTAACATTATTATCGGAACAGCCCTGCCGTCTTTCCCGCGTGCTTTGACTATCGATTATGGTTAATACGAGATATTCTGTACCTGGGTTCCATATTTGGACCTTATTCACGAGACAGAACGGAAGAACAACTGTTGAATTCCAGACGCTTCTCGAGATCGTTGGCACAACTTGGCGGTAGATTGTCCCGTTGAAACTTCTTCCAAGCACGTCGCTCAATGTCCAGGTATCAATGTCTTCTTTCGCATCTTCACTCGAGGCTCGTATAGCAGTCTAGGTGGACACTACGTCAAGGCGGAACAAGATGCGAACACCTCGTTCACTTGTATCCCATAGTTTCTTCGAGGATCGCTCGTAAAACAATATCATTGGCCAACGGCTCTCGGATAGCACCGTTCTGATTTCGTAACAATTCTATTTTACTTTACTTTTCTCGATCCTCGTTAAACGTGATAACAATCGCTGTATTATTTCACAAAAAGAAAATCATATAATATGTTTAATCGTTTAAATCATAAGAGCTCATATGCGTAAAATATATATATTTCTTCTTATTATTTATATATATAAATTTACGTCATAAGCAATCGAAATTTTGTCGCCGTCTGGATTAACTATAATACCTCAAAAATCTTAAATATTATATCGAATACTTTTCTCCACTCCAAATCTGTTGCATGAATTATCATCATGTCGCCTGGACTCGTCCATTTTCTAACAATTACATAATATCCCGTAAAAACATTCATAAATTTCAATCAGGACACTAATAGTCGAATAAATAGCTCTAATAGAAACCTCTCGCCATCTGATTTTTATTACTTAGAAGTCAGACCTTATTCATCCATCTGAGTTAACAATAATTACACGGCACCCCGGGGCAATCCTGTAACGCCGCCGGAGCAAAGAACGTATTATTCTGAAGATTATTCTAGAAGCGTCGCCTTAGGTGTCCGGACATGTTCAGAATCCTGTGCCGCAGTGGGATGCCTAACGTACGGAGTCAAGATGAGGGCTTGTTACGTTAACCATCATATTGTTTTCGCAAGGGCAAGACGTTCGCTTCGACCGCGCGGCGGTCGCGGCGCGGCGCAACGAATAGTAGTTCGCCCCGGCTTTGAGGTGTACCATCAAGAACGATATATCGTGCCCGATATATATCACTCGGGAGAGAAAGAGCACTTCCACTTCTACACATGTCGAGTTTATTACATGTGCGTACATGTCCATACGTGCGCGTTGCCCGGAGGCTGCGCTCCGAGCTTCTTCTCGTTTAGATATCCGCTCGGCGAAATTATTCGAGAGCGAGGAGGGAGGGGGGGGGGGAGGGAACGACGGAGAACGGAGAAGCGCGCTCTCGTCGAAACGTCTCGACGGACGGTGCATTATATTGGTATCCTATCTGGCGTCGATCGCCGGGCTTCCGCAGGTAGCGATTACCACCTTGGCCATTTTCTCTCCCCGCAGAACTATCGTCGATTAAACGGTCCGTCGACCTCCTCCGCATCTCTCGCGCGCAACGGGATGTTTTAATCACTCGGCTGGATCGATTCGACTCGTCCTTGCATGTCGGACGGTGGACTGACGTCCATCGGCCCATTCGTAGGAATTAATTAGCGCGCTCTTGCCCGATGCCGGCCGATTAAAAATCTCTCTCTTGCAAACGGCCGACCATGACGATATAGAGCAAGGACCGTGAAAGTTGTAATTGATAATTCACTATATAAACGTTTTGGAATTAAATACGTTATTTTATATAAAGTCATTGACGTAACTTCTACTTTTTCGCAGAAATTAACGTTCGTAATAGTCTTTATAATTTGTATCTATTTTATTAAAATTAATATATGATAAAAAATGTTTCCATCTTTATGTTACAAAAATTAAAAGAAATATTATTAGTGTCGCACATATCTAGTCTTTCCTTTTTTTTCCTAACTAATTTATATGGAAAAAACTAAAAATATGCTTTACATATTAAAACTATCTCAAAAGTACAGAGTAATCGATTCATGTTGTAATTTGCGCCATTCTCGACGACTTGTCCGAACCAATTAATATCGCCCAGGAAAAGCGCCCCACGCCTGTTATTCCGTTTTTCTCGGTGAACGAACGACAAGAAACACATTTTAAACACGCCTCATTTTCCACTACATAAACTCAGGACTATCATACTCACGGCGTGTATTCATGGCGGAAAATGTTTTCGCCTTTTTGAAGAAGCATGGCAGTTTTTTGAATCGTGGACTAGCTGAACGCAGGTTCCATTTGGCCATCCTCAAAAGTTACGAAGTAACCGGTGGCGTTTCATGAATACGTGTTCATTATTTATGAGCAACGCCTCTCGGCATCAACTGGACCGGCCTCTCTATCTACCGGTAGGCACCCGGGAGAGGAAGGCAACAGGATAACGTATTACGTCTTCATATTTTTTCCCCTTGTGCACGCCTGATAATTAAAGGTGCCCCGCCAAGGACTCCGATGATTTACCGGCAACGTTGCGCCAACCTGATAAGATGGGACCGGTTGATAACGAGGCTCCTTTTGGTATATCGTAAGTCGGATCGAGTTCTCTAGTAGACTGTATCGCCTCTTTATAATATTCCTATAACTTCTGCCTGCTGACCATCCGATCAAGTTTATCGCATGTCTCGCGTGACATGTGTGTCATATCGCACAAGAATTTTATATCGACGATAACAGATTAAATTGTAAATAGAATTATATAGCCTGGTGATATAGTCTGGTTTGAGGGAATGAATAAAATGTAAATAATTTCCTAAAAATGTCAAACTATTATACGATACAATTATGTATATATCCCACTGTAATAAAAATAAAATCAATTCGTTTGCAACATGAAGATATCGACGTCATTGTTCCGTGATGCATATGTATCAATCATTATATTTTACTACAATGCATAAATGTTAGTTATACGATCTGAAATAATTATCGAGAGTCGCTGATAAAACAACTATGTTTAGCTGATCGAAAAGCGTCGTGATCCCGCGAGCCAAGGCATCTGCGGCATCACCGACGGCAGGCAGCGAGTGCCGAGGAAAAAAAAGCAACTCGCGGTATTCCCCTTTCTCATTACGGTATGCTGGATCAAAAGTGCTCATATTTCATAGACTTGTTCTGGCGTGCGGCACGAGAACCCCGATGGCCTCCACTCGCGCGCGCGCGCGCGCGCGTGTACAGAGAAGTTACAGTCCCGTTGAGTGGAGAAATTTACGTTCGTCAGCAAAACGAGTACCGCGACGAACGACGGGGCGAACGACGATGACGATGGCGAACGAGGTGGACGGCACCGGTGCCCGATGATGATTTCGACGATTTAATGAAACGTCCGGCCGGCACTAAAATCTCCCCTTCTCAGCCTCCTCTCTCTCGCGCGCGTTGTCTACCGTGCGCCTCTCCTCTGCCCCTCCTTTCCGCGCACATTCTCCCGCGATAATCACCGCGATCTCTCTCGAGAAGCATCATGCATTAGTGTTTTTCAAACCGAGCCATAATGTTGCGCTGGCATCGGCGAACTCGCTGATGCTGACGAGTCGATCGGCGAAATCGACGATAGGCCACGTTGCGCGTGCGTGTACATGTGCGTTATCTTAGGAAAAACATTTCCAAAAACCCATAAACCCGAAGAATAC